AGTGGGACAAACTCTTGTATCTGCCAACCTTTTAGTCTTTCCCTTACTGTAAAATCTAAGGAAAGGGACAGTGCAGGACAAGTTCTGGGCACAGCCTGATGCCCTGAGCAGCTGAACAGGTGTTGTACAAAAGGAAAACATGGTAAGCAAGAGGCATTTCAAGAATCTGGCATTGTGTCACAACTCTTTAAGGTACTTTTAGGGACACATAGCACTGTATCTGCCAACCTTTTAGTCTTTCCCTTACTGTAAAATCTAAGGAAAGGGACAGTGCAGGACAAGTTCTGGGCACAGCCTGATGCCCTGAGCAGCTGAACAGGTGTTGTACAAAAGGAAAACATGGTAAGCAAGAGGCATTTCAAGAATCTGGCATTGTGTCACAACTCTTTAAGGTACTTTTAGGGACACATAGCACTTTGGGGCCTCATACACATGGATAGACTGTTTAGCCACAGGTATTGCATTCTCAGGACTCTGCTATAAGAACTGCAGACAGTTTGGAAAATAATGTGAGCCTCTATATTATTATGTCTGTTCTGCTTCTTAGGTACTTTCTCTTTCTTTCTCCCACCCTTTTTCATATACATTTTATTTCTGATTGCTTACTTTTAGCCTAAAAACTTATCATTAAAGAAACAATGTGTCAGAATCTTTCTTTTTCCAGAATTCTGAGCTGCTTTCTCTACAGTTCAGCTAATAACTAGGCATTCTTATTGTGTTGATAATCTTGATTCTCTTTACTTAACAGTGGAAAGCCTTTCAAGTATCTTCTCATTTTGCAGGGGATCTTTTTGACTGCAGAAAGACACGTGGGAGGAGAAAGAATTCTTGATAGTGTTTCTCTACATATCCTGCATTTGGCTTTTAGTTAGTGAGGTTCTTTCAGGTCTCACTGTTTTAACGGGGTACAAGAAATGGCACTAGCGGCACTCTGTGGATGACATAAACATTGGCAATTTTCCATCTCTGGTGTATGGATCTACCTGCTTAGAGAAGTCAAGAGGCTGAGTGAAATAATGTCATTTCAAAGTTTGTGGTACGAATGTTATAAACTATAGCAACAAGCAAAGTTGACACGCTTTAAAGAAACTTTCAGTTATCTTAAATGTTGTCCTATCATCTAAGCTAGTTACCTACATTCTCTTTAAAATGAACAGATTCCAGAGAGAATCAGAGAATTCGTGTTAGACTTTTACATCAGGATAATGAATACACTACAGGTTGTTCTCTACCTTCCCTTTCTAGAAAAGGAACTGAAACAATAAACGTAGATAATATGTATAAATTTTAAACATTTGAAGAGTGAGATGTTAATCTAGAATATGTTAACTGTTCAGAATACTTGAATGACTCTTACAAAATTGTATTGTCACAGTCCCTGAACTGCAGGGACTTTGAAAAGGGTGCCTTGTTCTATCTCCCCAACCCCTGGCTGGTACTATGACAATTTCAGATATAAGAACCACCATTCTTCTAACCTTAACCCTATCTCTAATCTTGTCCTAGCCAGGCCAGGATGAGGGAGGGGTGTTTGCAGAGGAATGCTTCATAAACCACTGGCCTCAATCCAGTTTCCCCAAGACCTGGGTAACAATGCAAAGTGGCTCTCCAGGACTCATAGTTCTTTTCATCCTAGCAAAGGTCTGGATCTTAATCTCACTCTAGCCTCTCTAGACTCAGAGAGTGGAAACTGCAGAGGAAATGTGACCTTTCATTGCCATAGTCTTCTCCCATCATCAGCCCAGGCCCTGGAGGATGCTATGAAAAATTCAGCACTGGTACCTTTTGCTCTTCAAACTGTAAAAATAATGCTAGTCTTCTCTAGCCCTGACCCAAGGATGGATATGTGCAGAGACATTTTAGGTGAGTCACAATCTCCTTCCTGAGTGGGGCTGTGGGCTGAGTGAGTCCTCAGGAGTGACTTTCTCCTCCCATTCTAAATAAGTCTTACCCAGCTGGGTGAGGATAAGGCTCCTCCCCTCCCCTGAAAAAGTCATCAAGACTGGTAAATGACTATCATTATAAAAAAAAATAAAAATCACCTGGCCTACAGATGACTCTCAGAACAAGGTAAGATGGCAGTAAGAGGCTGCATGAGTTGTTTTGAGAGATGTGTAGAGCCTAATTACTCAGAACTGAATGACAGTACCTGCTCTCAAACTGCTTTTAAGCGCTCAATTATTTATTGGATTCAAACTGAAGGAGGTGAAGTTTAGGTTAGATATTAGAAAAATGTTTTTTACTCTAAGGGTGGTGAGATACTGGCACAGGTTTACCAGGGACGTGGTGGTTGCCCCAACCCTGGCAGTGTTCAAGGCCAGGCTGGATGAAGCCTCGAGCAACCTGATCTAGTGAGGAGGTGTCCCTGCCCATGGCAGGGGTTTGGGACTAGACGATCTGTAAGGTCCATTCCAACCCTTAAATTCTATGATTCTATGATTTAGTGAGGTTAAATGAGTACAGGGTGAATCAAATTCTGCTGGTTTTCTGCACCTTGTGTAGGAGAAAATGCAGGTATCACATTGGGTATCCAGGTGAATGTGGAAAGTGAGCTGGGACCATCCTGTGGCTGAAATTGTAAAAACTCAGTTTAAGAAATATATTCTTATAAAATTTCCACAATTGGAATCACATGTTTCTGGGCTCCAGACCCTGCTCCAGCACCATCCTAACCTGGGGGTGAGGAGAAGAGAAACCTGATAATGCTCCCAGTTTTGCAGCAAATCTGAGACACAAGGAGAGCCTAGCCTCCACAGTGAATTGTTTGGGTTTTGCCTCCAAGGAGAGCCTACCCTCCACAGTAAGGGATATGCAGTGAATTGTTTGGGTTTTGCCTCCAACATTAAAGTGCCATCTGTACTTACTGTGGCCAGTTTCTCAATCTCTGCTTCAGATGATCCAAGAGAAGCCAGTCCAATATCCTAAAGCAAGTAAGCAAGCAGGCAGTGTCACACTAGTGTGATTATTCAGCCCAAGGGAGAGAAAG